CGCCCCCCCGCCCCACTGCCCCCAGGCGCCGTGGCCCCCGTGAGGGACCAGGCTGTCTGTGGGTCCTGCTGGAGCTTCGCTACGACAGGGGCGATGGAGGGTGCCCTCTTCCTCAAGGTGAGAGCGGGGCTGTGCCCCACGGGGATGGCCAGGATCCCTGGAGGATGCCCGTCCCCATTCCTGCAGCGTGTCCCCCCCACAGACCGGCGTGCTGACCCCCCTGTCCCAACAAGTCCTCATCGACTGCTCCTGGGGCTTCGGGAATTACGCCTGCGACGGGGGCGAGGAGTGGCGAGGCTATGAAAAAACACGGCGGCATCGCCAGCACCGAGTCCTACGGCACCTACAAGGGGCAGGTGAGGGTGGCCCTGTGTCCCTAACGGGGTCCCCCAGGTCTCAGGATGATCCCCCCAGCCATGGTGGATCATCAGGATCGATGAAAGGTGCCAACAGGTCTGGAGATGGGGATGTGACCTCATTCCCAAGGCTCCTGTGTTCAAAGCAGGGTCCAGCGCCAAGACCCAGGGCTCAGCTGGGCGGTTTCATCACCGCGTGCCTCAGTTTCTCGTCTTGCAAAACAGGGACAAGGCTCCTCCACCCATGGGTTGTGCCATGGGTCTCTCCATACCCTGGGGTGCAGGGAGGGAGCAGGGCTGCCCAGGGACACGGACACGACGACAAGACTCAGTCAACAGCCCCCCCAGGGCTTGGGGTGCAGAGCCAGCTCCCCCTGCCACGTGTGGGTGATGGTGTGTCCCTGCAGCAACTGGGAAAACGTCCCCACCGTGGCGGGCAGGGGGAGGCTGCGGGGTGAGAGCCGGGATGCTGTCACAGCCTGGGTCTCAGATCACTCCCTGCGTCAGAGCAGAGCTCCTGGGGGCAGCCAGGGTGGGCAGGGTCCCAGCGAGGGGACCTGGGGGCTCTGCATGACGCAGTGTCCCCTCCTGGGTGCCGCAGAATGGCTTGTGCCACTACAACCAGTCTGAGATGCTGGCCAAGATCACGGGCTACGTCAACGTCACCTCGGGCAACATCACGGCGGTCAAAGCTGCCATCTACAAGCACGGGCCTGTGGCCGTCAGCATCGACGCCTCACACCGGACCTTCTCCTTCTACTCCAACGGCATCTACTACGAGCCCAAGTGCGGTGAGTTGGCACGTGGGGCACGGGAGGAGGTGTCCAGGGAGATGCCAGGACATTGGGATCCCCTTCTCGTTGTTGAACATCTTGGGCAGGGGTGGGAACCGGTCCTGCAGCCCACCCCCAGCGCTGCCGGTAGCCCCTGGCGCAGAGATGCTCGCCGGGCAGGGATGCTCTCCGTACGAACCATCTTCCATGTCATCCCCTCCAGCGAACGAGCCGGGAGAGCTGGACCACGCGGTGCTGGCCGTGGGCTACGGAGTCCTGCAGGGAGAGACCTACTGGCTCCTCAAGAAT